AAAAAAAAACGCATATTTCTTTCCTACAGTAGTTAAAGGCATAGAAGCATTAAGGATCTCAATGCAGATTAATCTTGAATTTCATTCATCTTGAAACATATCTCTTCGTTAGTCGACTTACAGCCATTTTGTGTCTTGTATTGAACTGTAAGACTGTTAGCCACAAGAAATTTATTTAGCACCACAGCACTATTTTGCGCATATATGTAGGAATTCCGAAGGTATTTGGCTTTAAAGAGCATTTTTAGGTGCGTTCTCAGTGATAATAAAAGAAACTTCTTCTATAATTTGGTTTTTTGAGGAGCAAATTTAGAAACTAATAAAGTAAAAATTGTAGTTTTTCAGATATCAGACCGTAATTAAAGATAGTCCTGTGTTTTCTTTTCTTTAAATGTATGACCTTGTTCGATTTTAAATTTCTCAGGCTTCATCCGCAGCAACATCCGGATGGACAATAAATTTGTTCCCAACACAGACACCGAGTCCATCTACAATGGCTAGGAGTGGTGTCATCGGCAAGAAAGTGGCAGATTCTGCTCTTTTTGCCCGCTCCTCTTTTCTGTCACAGTCGTTGAGCAGAACTGGTCACGCTTCTGATCCAGGTCCTAAATCGCTGCATCCCACGTCTCCTCCTGCCGTACCACTGCAGTCAGTAGCCACGGATGGCACAAGAAGTGATGAAGGCGAGACAAGAGAGGTGGTTTTGATTTTCTCTTCAAGAAAGAAAAAAATTAGTTTTCTTGTTTGTTTGTAGGTATTGCAATCACCATCTGCCGCACTGCGAACGCTAATTTCCCATCATACACCCACTACAGGAGAAATGCTAAAGCGGCCTGTGTTAGCTTTCGTTGTTGAACATCATGATCTCAAAAGGTTTGTTCGCGTACTCATTTCAAAAAAGTTTTTGCTATATGTGTGCTATTTTCTTCTTTCATCCAAGCTATCTTTGGTAATTTTCGGAGTTTTTGTCGAGTTTCTGTCAATACGCAGTAAGGCAAAGCACTAAAATTTCTCGAAACAGTTGCAGAGATCTTTGTATAGGGTAAATTAGCCTCTGATTTGTGTGACATTGAAGTCCGAGTTTATTCATGTTGGCT